TATAATGGAAACACTAAATTAAAACTATTAAGTTTAGTTTATCTTCTTAGATTTTTTTATTTAATTCACAATGCTCCCAGCAGTCAACCAACTAAACAGGGTATCTCGAAGCCGCATACACCTCAAATTATTTAGTTTGTAGCTTATTTTCTTTGTCGCCGAATGTTTTCGATTGTTGCTCATACAGAGTTTTCAATTTTTTAAGGTCAATTTAGCGTTCTCATTGGCCTCAGGCTTGACTTACGAAAACAGAAAACAAAAGTGAAAATTGAATAATTAATGCATCGCTTTGATAGTGCGTCAATTATTAAAGAGTTTTCTGCCGTGAAACAACGAAAAGTTCTGGTTCGATACTGTTGCATGTCTCCGGCGGGACAAACGAATGAATGGCCTTGAGACATGCAAAAATGAAGAAGAAAAACAGTAGAAAATGGCAATTGCCAATTAAATTTATTTAATATATTTCTATTTGTATTTGTATTTTTTCCATTTTTATTTATTTATATGGGTTTTTTTTCATTTCTTTTTTCGCAATAAAATTGTTGATTTTTTCTTTAATTGTTTGCAGTCTGGCAGACGTTGGGGCGAGTCGAGCAGCTAAATGTTGTTGTGCTGTTGTTGTTATATTTGTTTTATTTTCTCTGGCACAAATTTCGCCAATGTTGAGTGTTCGTGTGGTGCTTGCTGCTGTTTATATTTCGCCGCTGCTAGATCGATTGCCTGCGCCCAGCGATTCGTTTAATTTATTTTAATCTAATTGTTTTCTAATTAAAGTGACTCGCCTATTTTCATTAGATTTCACCAGCACTAGCTCCAAATTCAATTTGCCATTTGAATTACTTGAATTACTTTACAGTTGGCCAGCCGGCGGCTCTGTCTGTGTTTGTGCGCCGCCATCAGATGGGCGTGCCAGCAACGACATGTGTAATTAAACCGAATGTGGTATGCTAATCTAATGCGAACTGTGGCTTCATTATAAAGCACTGCATACTGTCGGGCGCGTATTTGTTTGTGGCAGCCTTTGCGGCGGGCAGAGCATCAGAATGCAGCTGGATGTTGCTTTATGCTTTAGATGTTCGTTTACATGGCTGGATTTAACAGACAGAGTTCAGTCGAGTCAAGCAGCACTTGCAATGAATTTTGTCTGATTGAGCGAAACATGCTCACAAAATGAAAACTTGTATGAAAATAAACAGACAAATGAAAAACATTTTCAGTTCGTTTTTCAGCTCGTTAAGCAACTAAGCAATGCGACTTCGAATAAAGCGCTTGGCATAAGCGATTTTAATACATATACATATTCAACATATTCAGGGGAAGAAACTTAATAAGCTGCAAGCGAACAATCAGACTAGACTTAGACAATTGTTTAAAAATGCAATCAAACTTCAGAAGAGGACATTGACCAGACTATTTTTATTACAGTATCAAACATTCTGGAAAATTAAATTTAAAGTCAGTCAAGGCAAAATAAAAGAAGTCAAACGAAAATAAAAGCGAAAGGAATCGGAATGTGACCTTTTGCCATCAAAGTATGCAGGACAATTAAAGAAGACAGTCAGTTGACTTGACCCAACCTAAATCAACAAAAAAAAAAAAAAAAAAAAAAAAAAAAAAAAACAAGAAAAAAAAAGCTTGAAGCTGAAAACTGAAAACTCAATAGTTCATATTCGTTGTGAGTATTCCTGCGTCGAAGATATTTATGATTAATGCAACGATATAGAAAATGCGCATTTTGTCTCTCCGTGTAACACACGGTTTCTATAAATAAAAGAAAATATTTGAATGGAATTAATGGATCGTAAGATATACACTTAGTTCACCATGCAGCATTAAACATTTTAGAGCTTTCATGAGAGAACATACAGAGCGCTTTGCTTGAAGTGCGCATAGAGGAGAGTTGTTAAGAATAAATATTGTAAGAAATTCA